CCTAAATTAATTTTGCTTTCATTTGGCTTTCCAGGTCCAGATACCATTCTAAAACCACCTCTTAGTTTGATATGTCAGCAGCCACCTCAGCCCTTCCGGGCCATGACCCCAACCCAGAACCTTAGTCCTCCACCGATGATGATGTCGCCGGACCCCTTGCGGTTCCCACACTGCTCTCCTCTAGCCATAAAGCCGCCACCTCACCTCCAGTTGCCGCCCAACCCACCCATCCCAGCGCCCCCCGTCCTCAGTCCCAAGCCCCCCGAAGAAGACGGTCAGGCAGTGGGTGCTGACCCGGAAGCCACTCTGGAAGAGCTTTGCAAGCCTCTGTACTGTAAGCTTTGTAACGTCACTCTCAACTCTGCCCAGCAGGCTCAGGCACATTATCAGGTAATCTAAAACTCATGTTATGGTCCATGAGGTATGTAAATATGATAAGAGAATAGTGAATGAGTTTCAAATTCTGTTTATGTCAACAAAGTGGTTTTGGACTGCACAATGCCTGATGACACCAAAATAATAGTTTGTCTTGATTGATACTGTATGTTTAGGAGATTCTTTCAGTTAGTTGTTTTTCTTGAGAGCCTGAGTACTCGTTTAAATCTTTGTTGCAACGAAGAAGAAAGCATCTAATCAAGTCTTGTTTTGTCTATAGGGGAAAAACCACAGTAAGAAGCTGCGCAATTTTTATGCTGGTAGCCAGCAGCCACCTCCAATTAGAATACCAGAGGTAGTAGAGCCTGTTTCCCAGCAACCCTCAGCAACTCCACCCACAGATTCTGCAAATGTGACTGCCAGCCAGGTACTTATGACTCTTATCTGGTGCATTTCTGTCCGAGCAAGTGTGGGTTTGTTTTTTTTCTACAGGCTGTCTGCAAATAGGGCTAGACGATATGTGTTTAATTATTTAAAATTTATTTGCAGTGATTTTTCTAGCAACATTGTGAATGCATGTCAATAGACTAGTTTAGCGATATTTCTTTGTCTTGCGTTATTCTTCATGTGCCACTTGTGGCATCAAACGTAATTGCAAACTACTGGAGTGTCGAACTAGCCTAAACTTCCCTAAGCACTTCCCCTCAGGGGAATCTCAGTCACCAACTAGGGAATTTTATATGGACAGACCCTCAAGACCCTTTTTGACCGAGGAAGT